AAGCTGGTTATAGAACCATTTTTGCACGGTATAGTTAACCCTCGGCAGGGATCGAAATGGCGGCTCTCGGAGGAGCAAATTGTGCCGACACTCATAACCACTCGACCATCCCTGCCTCACAATCCCTTCGACGTCATAGAGCCAAAAAGATCAGCCTGGCTTTAAATCTGCACACGTGTTCTTGTAAAGCTCAGATCTCAGCTTCACCAATTTCAAACAAGTCGAGCCTAAACCGCCTGCAAAGGCACTGCGAAAAGCACAGTTGCTGTGCTAAGAGTGCTAAGCCCAGCTAGGGTTCGCCAAATTTTGCCGCGTGTAGGACAACGATGTTGATGAGAGCTATTTCATTTGTAACATATCGCAAGACAGGGCAGTAGGTGCATTTGAAACTGCTTGAAAATCTCCTTTCTGGTAAAATAGAGGTTAAGGCCTCAGGCGGGTGAGAGGAGATTCCAGGGTGCAAGAGCATTTTCCAGTTCACAAAATTCCTGCCTCTTTCTAGGCTCAGTCCTAGAGATAGTCCCGTATTTTACCTCAACGCCTAATTTGATATCTTTCACATTTCCCAGCGTCCGCATTCCGATTCCCAGTTTCCACAAATATCGGAAACTCCTTTCTGTTCGTGCTGATCGGCATTTGTGTTTTGTCAAAAGTTCCTGCTCTTGCTAATTTCTCAAGGCGACACGCAACCCAAACTCGAAAAAAGGACAACTAGTAAAGTACGGATGTTTTGTAGGATACATAGGTACTGAAGTACGGACTCATGTTGATCTCATCATCTCATGTTGATCAACCCTCGCGTAGGATGCGCCACCTACTCTACTTCCACTCAGAATCGAAGCGGTATTTAGATTCATTTGAATCACACTTTCCTCCTAGGGCAGCTGAACAAGTTTGGTATCAACAGGTAACCATTAAACGATTTCTGGGAGCAAGAAGGCTGGCTAGCCTAGACGGGATCCGATTTAGTGCCTGGCCCTCGGACTGAAGCCGCCGTTAGCGGATCCACTTGCCAGTACTCCTTTTTTCCGCGCCACGAGCTAAAGTAATAAGCAACTTTTCATGGGAGCAGATAAGTCCTGCCAGTTTGGAGACTGGTTTTATATAAGGACCGAGTCCTAGCTCTTGAAATGCACTATGTGATCTCAATAGACCCCAAACAACTTCGAACAACAGCAGTATTTTCAGCTAGCACTTTGCAATGCCGGGTCGACGATCCATTGTCATGTAGTCAAGCAAAGCACGAGGTAGGTGACTCTTTTCTTGAGAATAGGGAAAATCTCTTTTTACACCCGTTTTTCGGTAATATTGAATTTTTGAAACATTAGACGACTTTTGTTTGAAGGTGTGCGTGTTCGCGAATGGTCAGTACAAATGCGAATGTCCGACAGGAGTGAATCGACTAGCCGATGGACGATGTCTGTGGGTGGACGAATGCGCTCGGCCGTCACTAAACAATTGCCATAAAGACGCTAATTGCATCGATCAGGTAGGTACACATAGGGCGTTATTCGGGCACCTTTGTTCTTGTTTTGAAGGCCAATGGGCTGAATAACTGCTAACTTGAACTGCATCGGGGCCTATTGCACTTCTTGAATTAGCGCACTGCCATCAAACAAATCTACCGCTTCCTTCGATCGGACACCGATTCTTTCGGTCGTTGCTATTCAGTTATGGCCAGACTGAAGGGCCAGATAGTGCGAAAAAAACCTTCAAA